TAGCCACAGAAAAAGCTCTAAACATATTTGCCAATGAGGAACCAGTTTAAATATAACGCAACAGCAAAATTCTTGAACTCTGGAGACTGCTAGTCCTTCGTGTGAAATTTTAGCATCGCCTTGGTTGATTGGAGAGATTCCCATGAAGTAGTCGAAGTATTGAAAAGTGTTAGGTGGTTGCTAATGATTTCGATTATGGAGCCTCACCCAAGGTTATCAATGAATCAGAATACTGATAATCCACAAGGAGAATAATTGAAAGTCGGGTCTTGAGACTACAGTTTGTCGTTAATAATTTTTTCAAGACTTAACGGTCTTTCCGTATCTTTCTCACAAATCTATTTGTAACAATCACTTAGACAGATATATTTAGAAAATCGCTTTTAGATAGATGACAGCTTCGACGGGTTATCGGATACGCTACGCGAAGTGCAAATGTCTACGAAAAGTACTGTGCCGTTATTTTCGAATACATTAAAAATGGCAACGTCGATGGCCCAGTAGATGTTTTGAATGATTTATAGTTGTGGCGATTGGAACGGATTTTCCTGACTTAAAAGAAGCTATGGATCGTCTTAATGTTCGAAGTCTTTCCGATCAATCGTACGTTGTGATCATGGTGTGTTCTGGCCCATTGACAAACTGCTTTGCTGACTCGGCTGCTCGATCTAAGCTAGAAGGCAGTGGCATTATCGTTGTAGGTTTGCATCGTCCGTTTTGTTCGAATCTTCAAATTTCTAAATTATCAATAATGACACCACGTTTTTAATCTACTGCTCTTCCATTCTGCTTCCTCGATTATTGTGTTCACCACATATTTTGACGTATTGTGTTTTTCCTCGTTTTTCTCATTATGACGAATTCACGCAGCCCTTCATTTCCTTTGTTCAGTCCGTTTCTTTAGTGGAGAATTAGAGATCTTCAGAACTCTTGGCGTTCAAGTGGCCAATAATATCCTGGTAGGATGTATGCCTAGCACATGTATTTGCCAGGCTCGATCTCGTAGAGCGTTAGCTACGGACGATAGAGATTGACAAAATCGGTGTAGCACCACATCTTTTCTTTCACAAGCGTCCGAATAAAGTGTTAGTTTCCTTCTTTATTGTAGAAACTGGTCCAAAAATGTATTTTTCGACAGCAGGATAAACGTCGGACACAATACTTTCGTTTCTGTTATTACACGACGTTGGAGTGCTTGACTTTTTAAAGAAATTACCACGGGATTCTTAAAGAAAGCTCTTACTCCTGGTACACATTCGTGCAGAATGCCAATTTTCTTTCGGATTTTGGCAACCTAAAATAGCCTCGGATTAGCCGCCAGTGGTTTCCGTGGCCACCAAAAATTTGAACTCCTTTCACCGTTTGTCTCTCTTTTCCTCTCTAATCTTCGATCATTTTTGTTTAGTGTCTTAAGATAGAAGAAAATAGGTATTGCATGGTCGTCTCCGCGAAGAGAAGATATCCGCTAGTTTAGAAAGAGTTTCTTCGCTTGATAGTTTAATATCTATCGTTAGTGATCTACAGGCTGATAACCCCTAAGGCGTTTTACTACATCGTTCACCAGTAATAATACTTTTAGCTGGCACCGAAAATGGAAAACTATACGGCCGCTGTTAGCAAAATCACACCATTTGTTCCAACGGTAGAAAATGTAAGTCCTAGAGGGTATTTCATATCTATGTAGTATTCTTCACGATATACTGATGAGGTGGAGAGAATGAATTGATGACACTTCGTAGACTTGTTTTGTGAACACAGTACCACCGTAACCGATCTCTTGTCTTTTCTTTGAACACTTAGTGGCCTAACTTTTATTTTTTATTTAGAATAAAATGAGTCAATATATTTCACTTTACAATTCATGCTACGGGTATTGTTACGGGGCAAATATCATTGGAACCGGCGACACACAGGATTTTGCTAGTGCAATGAAATCAAAATCGTTTTCCAGTGAGTTAAGAAGTCTTTTTCACCTCTCTTTTTTTATTTTTAATTTTAAAAATTTTCCTAGTTATTTTGCGATGCAAAAATTTTTTTGGACGTTTTATCGAGAACATTAAGTAGCTTATGAGATGCTGGTCTGTTTAGATTCGCTTGGCACATTCCAATTTGACGGTGGTGGGACCCTACTACATAATTATTATTTTTCCACCCTTCGAAGTGCAGATGGTAGAAAAAACTTGTTTCTTTAAATCGTTTCATATTTTATATCAGCTTACATCAAAAAATTCAGATGGCTATGATGTGATACTGGAAATGTTAACCTCACCAAGTCAGTGTGTATCAATCACTTGTTTTACAGTAGTACGTGGTCTACTGATTTGTAATTCTTTGGTTCTGATTTTAAAAACAAAGTAAAATTAACTAAAAAGCAAAAAAAAAACTTACAGACGACTCGAATTTTGAACTCTGCTATTCTTATTGAAAAGCAGAATGCTGTGACAAACGAATGCCTGAGGCGCGGAAATTGTCAGAATCATCTCGGTAATCATCCACTTTTTCATTTACCACAGTTTTTTCTTCATTGTAACAAGATTATGACAGTGTAAGTGTTTTGTTTAAGGACTGATTCTTGGCGTTGTACTTGGTGCGATAGCTGTTATCGCTACTGTCGTCGGTTACATTGTGAGAAGGAGGTGTGTCGACATCATCTATTTTTAATTTTTTTGCTCTATCCTGACAAATATTCTCAACGAATCATCATAAACTATTACTAGCTGTGAGACAGGCGAAACCAAAGGTCCGCATGGTGTTGTGGTGAACGCGTTACTCACCGGAAAGGACAGTATCGCGTTCGTTCCCCACCGCAGACACCTGGGGTCCGGAGTTTTGCAAATATCTCAGCATCATTGTGGCTATTACTAGTGAGTAAAATGTCTAAATTTACTTCGTATACTTATTAGATACTTATTAGAATACCTGAAAATTACTCATTCGAAATAATGAGAACTTGAAGGCAACCATCCAACAGCATCATATTTACATGGAAGTATGGTAAGGTAAAGGGGTACTTACGGCGCAGTGGCCGAAGGCGCCCTGCGATACACATGGTATCGATTCCCGCTCTTCTGGCACAGCAAACTTTCCATATCTCTGAGCCTGGCAAATTGATACCAGACTTGTCTGGAAGGATAGCAGCACTAGCTGGATACATCGCTAGGCCACCGCGAGTCATTGTAAAGGCTAAATATGCATTCGGTCACCTCCAGCGATACGTAATGAAGTCGGATGCATGGTGCATCCCTCAGGAATTGATCGACGCCGAGAGTTTTATCCTTTTTTTGAAAAGGTATGGAAACGGAGAAATTAGTGTTATTTATATATGTCACGAGAATAGCACCCTAAATCACCTTCTGCTAAGGCTTGGTGCCTTTATAGTGAAGCAGTGCAGTATAACAAAATAGTGAAGAAATTCTATTCGGTTTTGTATTATAGTCGTTCCCAGCAAAAAAATACTGCAGGCTTGGTTAATGGAAGACTAAATAAATTCGTAGTATTTTTTATTCATAACTGTGATTTTCCTGATTTCCACACGATATCTGCTGCTCCAGTAGAACGCCAAAGCAGCAAAACATCGAGCCGTTACCGGCTCATTTTAGTGATAAAGTGGAAAGATTTGAATATGACAGACGTCTTACATTTGCTGTTCTCTCGACGAGTACGCAAGGTATTGTTATTATAATCTATTTATGCGCAATATCGACTTCCCGGCGGACGCTGCCTTCTTCTGGGCCTGGAAAGGTCAAGTTAACTGCGACCTAATCACCCAAATTCCTTCGTGATCTCAAAATAAAAGCCGTCAAGCCCAAAATTTCAGTCGCCCAAGAAACAAAACATATTCTTCAAACAACTATCGTTTTCTATCAGTCCTACACTCAGTGTTTTATTAAAAGAACAACCGCACAGATTTCGAATGGATGGATAACGTGCCTCTCTCAAGGTATAATATAAGTCTCAGTAATTGTGTAATTGTGTAAGATCTCGTGTTATGATAAGGCATTCTTTCCTGTGGTTCATTTCTGGATTCTTCTCTTTTATCGAAAATACTCCGAAGCCTTAATGATGTTCCAGATTCTTTTATGGGCATGGTAACTTTTAACACTAGAGACAGTAATTGAACGAGTTCGCGCACGGTATACCTGATCTCTTGAAATGCGTTTAGAGGCGAATAGATTGGCAGAATCGTAAGATCACTGCGAACACGTGTAAAAGAACACCTAGCAGATAAACTTAAAGTTGAAGAAAATACTCTACTAAGCGCACACAGAACGCAGAGACGTAACTGGAAGGATTTCAAAGGAAAAGTCACCATCCTTGCAAAGTAGTCTAAGACATCGACGCATAAAATTCGTTAAGCATTCTGGATGAATTACATGAATCCAAGAATCAGCGGCATGCGTGGAATGCCTGTTACCACACGTTTTCTCACACAAAATCTCGGACTGATTCCCACGACCGACTTTCTATTAACCTCGGCATTGATCAAATAATCTTCGATATTCTTGTTAAGAAATCTCATCTCAGACTGGTATTTTAACGTAAGAATCACACTATTCATCTATATAAGTTTGTGCAGATAGTCTGCAAAGAAAGTACACAGTGAAAGACTGATAGAAATTTGAATGTGTGAAGCAGACAGGTGATACGGTGATGGTGCACTTTTGCATAGCTAATCATATCTTAGAGAATCGTGGGCAAATTCTTAACTTTTACACACGACGGTAATTTGGTAATTTTATTGAAGAAGTGAAGAGAAGAAAACACGAGATTGTTGCTGTAACTGCTTTTTCAGGCAGCGTCTCAACACGTATAGAATGCACTGGAAAATCACCAAGGAACAATTAAAAATCATTGAAAATAAACAGGTCAGACCACTTAATTCACCATTTACACAAAACCATGGTCTTAAAATGCAAGTGCTTTGCATGAAGGCATCGGTGAAAACTAAGATTACTGCTAGACGCTATGAGGCAGATATGTAATCGTTTTGTCAAGTGAATAAAACAAATCAATATATGCGAAAATTTGCGACAAATCTGATCCACGAAAAAATTATAATTATAGCAAGAAAAAGAGAAGGAACTACGTTCTTCAGGCAAACTTCAAAGGATCCAAAGCAGGCGATGGAATTTCCGGTAAACGACGCACGATTGTCTCCTATGCATTGCTCGGCACCACAAAAGCCGAATTTATTGCGCTAGCACATATGCAAAAAATAAAGTGGACAAAGTTTGTGCAAAAAGATTGGCCTATATCGATCATCGATTTGAATAAGAAACAAAATAGTTGATGGCATTATCGTTCAAACACATTCCAGGGCTGAATTGAAATTCCTTAATGAAATGCGACAACTGAACCACGACAATCTGTCTACCTTTTTCGGAATCTGTGTCAATGAACTTGACAACTTTTATATTCTCTACGCTTTGATTGATCGCGCATCACTTGAAGTTTGTATCCCTCAACTCTTATGTTTCGTTTTTCGCCTATATTCTTCTTTAACTGGTATGCGCTTGTTTTTTTCAGGATTTCATTAAGGATCCGGATTTTCCTATCGATGATTTATTCAGATCTGCCTTCTTAAGAGATATTCTTAAGGTATAAAAACATTCGTATGTAAAGATTTTTGCTGAAGGAAGCAATTTTCTGGTTATTTAATCTGCATTTTTTTAAACATTAGGGACTCCAATATCTTCACAAGTCGCCGATTCGGTGTCACGGTCTACTTTTGACGAAAAACTGCCTTGTTGATTCGAACTGGGTATTAAAATTAACTCATTTTGGAGTAGTGGGTATGCTACACGAATTCATTGAAGGCAGAGTGCTGCGCAGTTTGCCGGAATATCATCTAAATCCAGATTGTAAGTGATAGGAGTTTTTAGAGCATTCTATGAGATTATTGTAAATCGACTCTCATTTAACGTCGGGATAAATGGCCTGTGAAATAAGGCACATTGCTCTAAGAGAATTTTTAAATTTTATCGTAAACTTTGCTGCTTTCACCCTTTACTTCCTTTCTGAAATAGCAAAGAAGTACCATAGTGCTTCCTTCCTGTCTTTTTGCAAAACTCAGACAAGCACACAATGATTCCTAAAAGTGAAGGCGTTAGATGAAGAAGACTTGGACTTCTTGAAATGTGTTATATACAAGTCCAGTAAAAGACCTTTCTTACTAAACCTTTTAAAAAATTTTAGCATTTAGCTCGTAAGCTTTATTTTCCAAATTTTGCTAGTGTGTTCTAGTAACCAGCGACTGGCATCGGATAGTCAAAGAAGTGAAAAAAAAACCGGCAGAAAATACTCCCTACACTTGGTGATATAAATTTTTCATATTCAAAAAAAAACAATTTTTAGATTTTCCAATGTTCGCTCCAGAATTACTGAAGGAGACAGGAAATTGTGACAATTATCCACATGGGTCTCCACAAGGAGATATCTACAGTTTGGGAATGATCCTCTATTGGTTGATGTATAGAGAAGATCCGTTTAGCAAAACTGGGCTACGTGGAAAAGGCTCGTGCTATTTTCCGCTTTTCGAAATTTCTTTTCTAATCAGTTCTCCGTCCAGCATTTATTTCATGTAATTTTAAGTCACAGTCTTACTTAACGGCAACGGAAAATCTGCGTGAGCGACATTGCATGTGCTCTGTACACAGCTGTTTAATGTTTTCTACTTTTCAAATATTTGACTGATCCTTTGTTTCTAACAATTCTCTTCCTCAATTTCTTGTACCTTGTCTTCTGCGGCTAAGCTCAAATAGACATAAAACCGGACAATTTCCTTAAAAAACAACAGATAAACCGTAAACTAATAAGAGAATATTTAGCGCTAGTAGCTGAAATTCTAAAACGCCGACTAAAACCGGAAGTGAACGAATACGAGAGCTCACCCGAACAGAAGGTATTTATTTCCCACTGGCTTAGAGTTCATGTTAACTCTCTCAATTTTATTACCATCTAATTCCTCATCTCCTTCCCGTTTCTTTGAATTTTACTTAAAAATTAGTACAACAATACTTGCCCAACCTTGGTCAATCTAAGAAAACAGTTAAAAGATAAAAGTACAATTATGCTGAGGTATTTGCAATACTAGGTTTCCAGGCCAGCTTCGAACCAGCGATTATCCTTTCCGAGAATGACATTTTATCGTCTACACCACTGAGGCTCTTACTTTACCTTTCTCTCAGCCAATTTCCTGCCTAATGCTGCCATCAGTAATCACCCGTCAACAGGAGTGATCTGGAGAGCACAAATTAGCATTCGACCCAGTTAAGCCGAGGCTGCAGCCGAAGTCACAATGTTCAACTCTTCTATTTACTGCTATCAGTTTTTATTTCAGGGTATTATATCAAATACAATCACAACGATGCTGAGATATTTGCAAAACTCAGATCCCCAGCCAGCTTCGTGGTAGTAGCTTACGTAATACCCTGCTATGAAAAAAGTATTAGGCAATAAATAAAAAGTTGGAAAACGTGATTTCGAATTCAACTTTGGTTTAATTGGGTTTAATGCTGATTTCTGCTCCCGAGACCACTGCTGTTGAAGGATGATTGCTGGTAGCACCGCTAGAGCTAAAAACAGACTAAGAGAAAGGCAATTCATGGGCCTCAGTAGTGCAGTGACCAACATGTTAGCTTCCAGAAAGAATAACCGCGGGTTCAAATCTGGACTTTGGTCTAAGTTTTGTTAACATCTCAGCATTGTTGCGACTGCATTCCACGTAAAAAACTGCCACTAAAAAGTAATAAGCAGATAGAAAAGGTAGGTATTATCAAAAATGGTTGGGAAAAAGTGCTTTGTTATATTATGGAAAAATTTAAAAGGCGTCTTTCTATAAACTTCAGTATGAATAGTTGATATATTTATTCATACGATCTTATAAACTGATCTTGTTGAGCCAATGAGAGGTTGGTACAGGTCTTCGCTGTCGTTGTCGTTGTTGTTGTAGTTGCTGTTGGTGTTGTTGGTCGATTGCTGACGTTTCGGCGATCCCGCCTTCCTCAGAGTCTAGACGTATTTTATGTATCAGTAGTCTTATAAAATATATTTATATTTATCGCCAAAATATTTATGGGAAGGGCTACTTACCGTGCCATCACGAGTGAGACTGCCCGCGTGTTGTTCACGAGGGAGGGCGAGCGAGACCGACCCAGGGGTCAAAATATCCTTTCGAAATGAGGCGCCAAGTCACGTGTGATAGTGAGGCATTCGTCTTTCCAGTTCATCCTTGGGATTTTGAAATTTATCTAAAACGCCTCGAGAGTCTTGCGCTTTGATGTTTTTGATTCCTGCGCTAGGATCCGGATAGTCACTTCAAAATCATGGTCATTGTGCTTCTGTGCCCAATGCGTACCTAGAGGAGTGTTTTAACGAATTTTAAATTTCCCATCTAGGTATTCTTTTATGCAGACATAAAGCAGTCTACCAGTTTTCGCAATATATATCTCACTTCATGCCCTACACGTGATCAAGTATATTGCACCAGAACTCATGCAATCCCCGTCTGTCCTGTTAGGTCAGAGTTTTCCGAGCCGCACAAACGATCATCGAGGTGGATGCGAACTAACTGACGGCGTAAGATTTTGGGCGAGAAATCAATAATCGCCACGTATTTTTCAAGACCACTTTTTCTTAAGCATCTCTTGATGGCGTAACTTATTTCATTTGATACGAAGGGTAGCTATATTATGGAATGTTTAGGCTCTCACTCGTTTAATGAAGGAATGCTACAGTACTGCCGTTGAGTCTAGACCGAGTCTTCGTAATGTTTTAACGGCAGTCAACAAAGCATATTCCACTTCGTAAGTTTTCTTAGACAGAATTCGAGGCAAACAGCGTAAACTGTATTGACCTCTATCAAATTTACAGCTTGCTTTTATTTTTCTTGTCATCTTCATCACATAGTCTTCCACTAATCATTAAACGAAGGGAGCGAACGTCAAAATTTCCTTTCATTGACAGTGACCACCAGCCGTAAATGGGCCCTTAACTCTATCTCTCGGTGATAAACATTAAGATAATCACTTTTGTTATCTAAAATTGCCACAGAGAGTTCTAATCGCTGGACTAACGGCTATGTCAATGAGCCCATGACATCCTACAGTAGTAGAGACTTCCTTATAATTCAATAAACGGATTTTACTGAGGCAGTGAAAATAAATATTATCTGCACAGTATTTTACCTTCATCAGCTTATGAAGACATTAGTTTACTTCTTGGTTGGAAATTTGGCCAGCAATTCGATAACATCACAAAAACAGATTGTTTGGTTGTCGTGAAGATGGTAAAAGCGAACCCTCAACCTTCTAGGCACTGGTGATACCTCCTTGATCTCAGTTACATGTCTTTATCGGTGAAAACCTAGGCAAAGTAATAAAAATATTTCAGCAAAGGCAACCTCGTTGACCAAATGCTCCGTATGAACGAGAAATACGCACAAAATCTTGAACAAATCGTTGCTGAGAGAAACGCGTTGCTTCAAGAAGCGCAAGAGCAAACGAATCGACTTTTGAACGAAATGCTTCCAGCGTTAGTCGATTGAAAAGCTTTTCTTCGTAAAAGTGATTGCTTTCACTCAAAAATCTTGGCGTATTTAAAAAAACATTTGTTAAAAAAGTCAGGCTCAACGTGGTAGGGATTGAGTTGACCATAAAAAAAATGTGTTCCAAACCCATTTGTAGCCACTTGTTGGCATCCTCACTACCCTTCCTGTTTATCAGATCTGTCGCTCAAGTGCTCAAAGAGGGTGGAACCATTCCACCACGAAGTTACGACGCTGCCACTGTCTGCTTTGTTCAGTTGTGCGATTTTTCAGCTCTTGTGAGAAGAAGTAGATCAGATGAGGTAATAAAATTTACACAACCTTTAAAGGTGCTTTATAAATAAATTCTTCGCATAAAAAATTTTACCTTAAGCTCCTCTATGAGGGAACTATGAGTGCTATAAGAATAGCCAGAACTCTGGGAAACCTGTGGCTCCTCTAAGCTCATCTATTTATCTTGTCGTCGTCTATCATCACATCAAGCGCTGCTTTATCGATATGAAGTCAAAAAAGTGTCGTCGCTGTCGTCGCTATAAAAAGAATTTCTAATGAAACATAAGGGAATGAACAACAAAATTTTCCGTACTTTCAAATTTCTCGTAAACGTACAATTGTCTTAGAAACTTATTTTATTTCAAGGTGATCAGTTTCCTCAATGATATCTTCGATCGCTTCGACACTATTATAAAAAAACACGATGTTTATAAGGTTCGAATTATATTTGACTTTAATCAACACAGTTGGGTTTTAGAAAATTTATCGTGTAGGTGGAGACCACCGGCGAGACATACATGGTGGCGTCTGGAGTGCCAAATGAGAACGAAGGACGTCACATTTTTGAAATAGCTGAGTGCAGTTTAGATATTAGAGAAGTAAGTAGGCTAAATAAACATGATGTACTATTTATCTACTTTGACCACTATTTATAGTCGAATAATAAGCGCAGACATACACTTTTGGCAGTTATTCTTTTTTGCCCTGAGTCAGTGTGCATGAGTACGCGACCGGACGTAAGCAAGAATATGATTCCGAATACAGAGAAAGTACAAGCAATTTCTGCATAGCAGAGTTTATTCCCTGAGTTTACCCACCTCTGCAAATATTATAGGATTGCCTTCGATCATTAATCACCTGTTTACTATCTAGTGACAATGCACCCAACCCGGTGACGAATCCGTCCGCTACCCTTTAAACGAGGCTAACTTGTGAATGAAGAACTTTGAGGTTGATATTTGTTTTAAAAACTGCTATTAATGATGTATTGAAGGAATCATACACTTATGTGGTTTCTCACTGCCCAGAGTTCAAAGTACGCGTTCGAATCGGGTTCCATTGTGGTCCAATCGCGGCCGGCGTGATCGGCATACGATCACCGAGATATTGCTTATTTGGCGATACGGTGAGACTTTTCTGAAAACGATAGAAAACGATTTTCTTACTAGATTTTAGGTCAATTTTGCTTCACGAATGCAGTCGAATTGTCCACCTAATCAGATTCAAACCAGCGAGGTGACAGCATTAAAACTAATGACTACGAATGAATATACGCTGGTGAGACGTGGAATCGTACAAGTAAAAGGAAAAGGTAATGAAGAATATATTTCTACATAACGAATGCCATTTTTAAAAGCACAGTGTCAAAGCTTATTTACATAGTTATTTGACTATAGTTTTTCTATTGTTACAAATAAGCGTTTAACTGCCGTTCATGCACAGATTTGTAGTCTATTTGAATCTATGTCCCCAGGTTGGCATCAGATCACAGATGATTGATTTTTCTTTTTTTGCCTTTCTTATTATCTGCTGAAAAAGCTCCTAATGGCGATACTATTCATGGGTGGTTCGAAAGTTGTTCTAACGGCTGAGGAACGGGTCAGAACTATCTACTCTGTTTAGGTGAAGTGAATTGCTACTGGTTGAACGAGCACGTACATGAAAACAATCACGTCGCACATTAGCCGACGCCGCCAACGACGTCAGGAATGCTCAAAGCACATTGAAACAAAACAAAATATGCTCATAAATAATGTTCAAATATCGGAACAATTTCTGACATTGAAAAAATAATAAATGTGAAACAATGAGAGAAATTAATGCTGGTGGTTTAGTACTGATACAAGTACCACTTTTTTCTATTACTATTTCATCAATGATGCTGAGATACTTGCAAGACACCGGACCGCAGGTGTATGCGGTGTGGAAGGAACGCGCTATTGTCCTTTCCGGGGAGTAGCGCGCTCACCACCACACCACGCGGTCCTTCGCTTCGCTTGTCTCTCTGCTAGTTTTATCGATCTTTTGCCATCAGCAAACACCCGCCAGCGGGATTGATCTGGGGGCCCAAATAGGCAACGAACCCAGTTAAGCTGAGGCCGCAGTTATAATCACCGATAGAACTAGCTGAGAGACAGGCGAAGCGAAGGACCGCGTGGTGTGGTGGTGAGCACGCTACTCCCCGGAAAGGACAATAGCGCGTTAGTTCCCCACCGCATACACCTGCGGTCCGGAGTTTTGCAAATATCTCAGCTTTACAATAGTTATATTTCGCAAAATACTCTGCCGTTAAAAAGAGTAGGCAGTAAATAATAAGTTTAAATTGTGACTATTTCATCAATAGAACAACAGTGCTCAACTTTTATTTGCTGCCTATTGTTTTTCACAGCAGCGCATTGATTAAAATACAACCACAATGATGATGAGATACTAACAAAACTTGGAACCCTAGCTGTGTTTCGGATTACACTTTCGGAGAGTTCATGTGTCGCCAACTGCACCACCGAAGCCATTACTTTGCATTTCTCTGCTCCAGTTTTCTGCTCTAACGGTTCTATCAGCATCACCCGTCAACGGCAGTGATATGGCGAGCACAAATCGGCCTTAAACCTAGTTAAGCTGACGCTACAGTCGAAATCACAATTTTCTACCCTTATTTACTGCCTATTATTATTTCCTTGGCAAGGTATTACGTGAAATTTCCGCTGGCGCCTGACTGCTGACAGTACCGTTTGACTGAAAATCTGTCTGAGAGAAAAGCAAGGCAAGGTGTAAGGAGGTGCAGTGGGTAGCATGTGATTCCTCGGAAACGAGTGTAATCGCTGTTTGGTGCTCACCTGGTGTTCCGAGTTTTGTAACCATTCCAAATGAAGAGCGGCAAGAAAATTTAAGTGCTAAGAAGTGCAATAGTGATTTCATGGGCATTCTGGTTAGAATAGATGCTGTTTATTGCCGTCGTAAGATATTTCAACGGGGATATAAATCACTGGACTTTCTTCGTATTTTTGTTGAGCAAACGCGAGGTGTTATTATTCTTTGTTCACGATTAAGCTAACGTTTCGGCGGATTTCGCCTTCCTCAGAGCCTGGAAAGGTCAAGTTGATAGCAATCTACTCGGCCAGACGCCTCCATAACCAAACAAAGAAACCCCAAACCAAGATTTCAACCACTTTGAACACAGCTTTGCACACTCACCGCTTTCTATGAGGTTTCCACTAAGTATGTCACGTAGAGACCAACCGCACAGAAATCACGTGGAAGTATAATGTGCCCCTCGCATCAGAAAAGCAGTTTTATATACTGCCCTATATCACGCGTGATAATGAGGCATTCTTCCCTGCGGTTCATTTTCGGATTTCTGGAATTAATCCAGAGTGCCTCGAGAGTTTTTCGCGCCTGTGTTCTTCATTCGCGTGCGCGGATCGTGACACATACTTCGAAGTCGTCCCCGTTATGTCTCTGGGTCCTATGCGTGCCTAGCGGGGTATTTGGTCTATTTTTGCCCGCTAGGTGTTCTTTCATGCGGACACAGAGGGGTCTACCTGTTTCGCCAATGTATTCGTCACCACACGTCTTACAGGAGATCAGATAAACTATACCCGAGCTCATGCAATCACTGTCTCTACCACAGGGGCAAATTATGCAATTTTGAGTTGCACATAGACGGTCATATAGGCGGTTGCGAACTAGCTGGCGTTTAAGATTACTCGGTGGTATTTCAACTACGCCCACCGAATTCTCTAAGCCCGCCCTTCTTAAGCAGCGTTTTATAGCTGTACTTATATCACTTGAGATGAAGGGTAGGATAAACGGTACCCTTCTATCGCTAGAGTTGTCGTTTGGAGGCGTACGATTTCCTCTACACCTATTCTGAGCTAAAGTTTCGTAGTCATTAGAAACGGCTATTTGCCGTGCCAAGTTCCGAGACTCCTCTCTCTGCTCTCTTCCCGTGCGCACGTTGGTTGCTGTTCGAAACATGTTTCTTATAAGCGCCCTTTTCGTGTGAGAGGGGTGAGAGGAGCGGTAATGAACCAAGATATTTTTACTACTTGGCTTTCGGTACCACTTTGCAATGTAGCCATTTTCTGATAGGTGAATTTGTACGTTCAAAAATGGAAGCCATTTTTCTTTCGGCTTTTCTCGGGTGAACTTGATATACTCTGACTGTGCGTTTAACAATTCGAAGCATTTGTCGAATTCCTCTTGTGTTGAGCAAAGGACAAAGCAGTCGTCTACATACCTACAGTAGAGTAGCGGCCCGAGATCAGTCACCGGTGCTTCCACCTTAGACATAAATGCAATGGCAAGGCTTGGAGCCAGTCGTTGCCCCATTGCCAACCCTCTTATTTGAGCGTAGTGCTTTCCAGACCATCTGAAGATTGAGCAGCCCAAGCATTCTTTTAAGAGTGCCATCAGGTGCTCTATCCTGAAGCCATACATGTTTACTTCTCCTTCGTGTTGTGTAAGGAGTTCG